ATGAAAATCCGGAAAGTGTTGTTAAGTGTAAAATGTTCTCGCCCTGTGTTATTGAATATTGTTAAAAAAGGATTTAGAAATATTGAGAGCAATGAGAAACTATAATTTTATTCGAAGTGAGATGAAAATCAAACCCTGATTAAGGTAGCATAGCGACGATCGTCAGTCTCTCTGACTACTACTTCATGCACCATTATCCTTTCACCTGGCTCTTCACCAATTAAAATAGCTGTAATTACTCTATTTATTCCTCACAAATGCTTCCATCCTCTCCCCAGTTATAAATCTCATCAGCAAACATCTTGAAACTAAGTAGGCTTACATCCTCTTCTAACTATCCTCCACAACCATAGCACATTGCTTCAAAGCGCCGCGCCAATGAGAGCCATGGCCACGCGTTTATCAATTCGGGTTGTTTGTCACATATCAAACTTCGCTACGCTGAAATAGCATAAGGATGATTTAGCGAGACGAAATGAAAACGAACAGGTCCATTTGCCGGAAAGGGATTGTGTGACGGTTTGATTGCAAGGGTATTTGTATGCTTTGTAAAAGTGAGCTAATACAAATTGTGATGTTGCAAGATGTATTCTTGAGGTCAAATGGTGGGAAATGCTTGAATGAAGTAACCAAATGAATTTGTAAGTAGAGTTTTGAACTTGTGCAATATTGGTCATTGTAGCAGCACTCTCTGCTTCCTGGTGAATATCAATACCACAAACTGTTCACCCTTTTAATGAATAGTCAAAACTTCAATTAGATACTCATCTCCTCACTTCATTGAATCGTTTCCCAACTCCTAACCTCAAATCTAAAAAATAGATCTTATGGTCTCTCTCTTTTTTCCCCATCAGTATCCCTTGTTACAAAAAGAATCTTTCCAGTGTTAATCTTCTACATACTCCTATCCGTTTTGTCACCTTAAATTTTCTTCACCATATGCCAACCACCACGTATTGATAGACTTTTCTTTCCTTACTTGACTACTAGCGTTGCATTTTCTCTGTTTATAAACACCACAGAAAAAGGTCAAATAACAATATTAGAATAGGGATGCAAGATTATCGCGCGAGACAATATCGATGTTCATATCATATCAGTGGACTTCGATTATTGCCAATTAATCAAGCAATTAGCAGGACAAAACATTGCAGTCAATAAATAGGAACCGCTGCGGACCATTATCATGAAACCCTGGCACATCCTCCTCCTTTTTTTCCCATCAAGAGATCTTCCTAATTTCTTTACCCTTTAGAACAGTAACACATCCTCCCTCCAAGAAAGGATTAGTTAACATATATATTAAAAAAGCTGGCTTGCAGGTGGTTTCAAACTTTCGTCATATATTCTATCAAATAAAAAAACCGTAAGTTTAGATTGAAGACTTGTAAGTAACAATTCCTGCTTCATTCTACCGCTATGGTGAGATCAGCTTCTTCATCCGATTTACCCTGACATATTAAAAGTGTTAAGTAGGTGGAAACAGAAAGATCAAAACGGGATGAAAATGAAGCAAGTCGAGGTATATGACTAGCACTAAGTGAAATTTTCATAGGAATGGAACTGTGATGTTGGAAATTGGTGAAGTACTGGTTTTCCCGTTATCATTTCCGTAGCACAGTTGTGGTTACCTCGTTGTGAAATTAAGGGGTGTTTATTGATCGATACGGAATAAATGTGCGGGAGAGAAACATTAATTTCTTTGCAGTCAATTCTTTCGTATTTTCATTCTCTGAGTCATTTTCTGGTAACTCTAAAGATCAAACTAAAGCGTAAGTTATCGGGACGGAAATCAGTACTAATATATTCTGTTCTGTTGTTTTGGTATTTCGAGTATACACAATTTAACCTGCAAGGGAGAGATGAGACGGATTGTATGGCAGCATCCTAATTCAAGGGAATAAATATCATTTTGCAAGAAATTGATAGGAACAGTTTCCGTTTGTCGTACCATGATCTCAAAGTGTTTGCCATTTTCTGTCTAACTCTATTGTTATCCAAGGTAGAATTTTTAGTCTGATTAAAACGATTGATAGTTCTTTACGGGATTACCATATGCTGCCATTTGTTTGTTGATCGGACTGATTATTGTCACACAGTTATTACGAATTATATATCAAACCAGTTGTATCATTCTCTTTTTCGGTTTTGTCTTCCTATTAGTATAATGGCATGTAATTTGTGAGCATTTGAATAGATGCGTATTTCCAGAAAGCAGTTGATGAAGAAGAAATAGTTTGCTTCGAAACACAGTGCTAATGTTGAAATGAATGGTAGTAATTGGCCGAACGAATTACTCAAGAAAGGCACCTCACATGGGGAACATGAAAAAAATGCGGAAAAGAATTCACAACCATTATATTCACCGCAGTGTTCTGGACTTACCGATACTCATATCACTTTCCGGAAGAAAGTACCTGCTGTTATCCCTCTCACGGTTATTTGTCTGATGACTAGCAGTTTTTTAAAATACATTTTAAGTTAAGAATAGCGTTTTTGATTTAGTAAGGCGTATTTTTTTACATAGTTGCTTGTAGGAAGAAATGAAAAAGATGAGCAAACTGCTTTAAGAGTTAAAGATTGAAAAAAATGAGAGAAAATTGGGACAAAATTAAGTGAAATTAATGCGAATATATAGTTGCTAAAGAAAATTATTTCTAAGCGCCTGGTTGCACCCTTTAATTAATACAGTTTTAAGGGAATAAAAATAACAGATTTCTATAGAAATACACATGCCACCATGAACAGTAACCAGTAAAATTAAGTTGAATTCTGATCTCACTGTATCTTTTTATCCTTACATTCCACTTTCCTCTTCCCTAACACCATCCCTCTTTTCTCTTTTCATTTCGCACCAATCATCTTCATGTTTTACAATTAATTTAAATTGGGAATTTCAAATACTTCACAAACACTTTCCCTACAAAAATTATCAATCAGCAAAAGCATTAGAATCTGGATGATATTTTTAAAAGATTTTTAGTCGTCACCCGTTGATTCACCTCATTCTTTATTGCTTTCACCGATATTGCTTCGTCCGATTCGCTCACTTTCGACGCAGAATAATTTTTATGGACTACCGTCTGAATTTGATGAAGAGCATCGCTTATCACGACAAAAAATAGCCGCATCCTATCAGCTGCCGCGCACATTTGCAGCTTCGAAAAGTGTGCTTTTTTTTACTTTTATTGGCGAAATAATGTGATCAGACGTATTCGAAAGTTAATTTCCGCTTTTTTAAAAGTTATTTACGCCTTGTTAACGAACTAGGAATTATTAAACTACACATCTTATCCTAAAATTCAGTTCACTGGTTCCAATATCACAAGAATTTTAGGTGTCACGATGTTGGGTTCAAAAACTGCCGTTGAGAGGGGTAGTGCTGATAATTCAGAGAGCCGTTTTTTAATGCAAAAATCACACAAACGAGGGAGGCGTTTATCAGGTAGGAAATGATTGTTTTCATTACTATGGCATTGTTTAAAATAGAACAGATTGAAGTTGTCGTTTGCCACTAGATGAAGTGGCGTAATTTGAGATGCTAACTCTCATTTCACATTTAGTATGTTGCAGTTTACAACTGCACATTCATTAGTCGCTGCCAATTTAGGTAATGATTTTTTGAATATATCACTTTTAAGGTTCATATTGGGATCCGAAAAGTGCACGTTTTAGTAATTTGTGCACTACTGAACTGTAAACTGATCATGATATTTATTTAGGATAAGTTCTCTTTGAAAATTTTACAGTAGTTTGTGTTGCCTAATATTATGGACTTAAATGTTCGTGAATTCCCATTTTATACAGATTTTCAGTTCTTGGCAATCAAAAAAATGTTTGTCAAGATGGAGAGAGTGGAGTAATATGCTCTGCCCAAAATTTAACATCTTAAAGTTTTGATTCTATAACTAAGTAACTTAGTTGCTGAAAGTTGTGGCTTTGAAATCTCGATGTTGTGTTAGGTCATTTTTCTACGCCGTAATCATTTTGACTGAAATTTGAAACAAATTGGCGATGTGGGTTTATTAAATTTTGAAATAAGTATCCGTATTTCGACTTGAACAGTAAACAAACGTAAGCAAAACAATTTTAGTTTGGAGGCATGCACCGTCGATAATTTCATACCTAACGAAGGTGCATAAGATCAGAATTTTGAGAAATATTACATCAGTAAAGCGAATAACAAATTACTGGGAGATGATACATTATTACGGATCTAGATAAACAATCTTTTTCCCTCATCGCTATTGCGAAACATTCAGCTGGTTCTGATGCATGGTTACTTATTTCAGAACAATTGCTAGTGATAATTAGCAAACACAGAGATGGTTCTGTCAAAACTAAAATTATCAAAGAGTTAGTATTGAAGTTCAGTATTGGTACTGTTGCAAATGTTGTTTGGTTCGCTGTACATTTTAAATTTCAAGTTTTAGGTATATTTAGTCAAAAATCAATCGACTCGTCGTTTTCAAATCATATTACAACACTAGGAAATTTGGTGCGAATGCGTAACTCTTCATTAGGCCATTCCGATCCACAAATTTCTGCATCAGTTCAGTCATCTTCCGTTCGTCTTCGAGTATGCTATATTTTTTAGATTCATTTTGATCTCTTTCTTCCTTTTTTTTCAGGGAGAGAGAAAGGTGGACTTTTTTGTATGTCTGACTCCAGTATCTAATAACTTCATACTCCTATTAATGCTTTTAGAGGAAAGACGGAAGTCATCTCTCGTATTCATCGGCTAGTAGCCTTGGATGTCGTCGAAGTCTGAATGCTTCAGCATCACCTATCCTCGCACGAAGGTGCCGATCACCTAATCGTTTAGTACTATTCCCCATCCCTCATGGAAAAACAAATCCAGGAATTGTGCCGCTTAGGTTTGTACCTCTTGGCATTTTTAAATACTCTTTCTCCATTCTTACTGCTAATGAGATTTGTCACTTTACAAACAAGAAAAAACAAGAAATGAGCATGTACTACATTTTTTCAGAACAAGTAATTCGCGTACTGCACCGTTAGCATCAGCTCAGGACAGTAGACGCTGGTCGGTTGCATCTCTTCCATCATCGAGTGGTTACGGGACACCCGGAAGCAATTCAGCATTTTCGGTTATTTGATTTTAGAAGTTTCATCCTTGAAGATTCGTCTATAGACTTTTACTGGAATGCAATTCCTAGAAAAAATTTTTCCAGGTTGAATATTGCTTGTTTTTTTCCCACACAACGAAATATAATTAGTGCACGAATATTAGCGTCTTTCAAGTTTTGTTAATACTCAGTATAGAGAGGCAGAGTTATATAACTTTTATATAAGGTAGTTGTGCAAATTATGCTCTGACAAAATGCATGAAATTTCGACTCAAAATTCAAGGAAAAAAGTCAAGTCTACTGATGAGTTTGTTTCTTTTTTCAGCCTTCATTATGTTTTCCAAAAAGAAAAGATTCATAATCACTTTTCTGCAGGACAAGCTTACTATTTTGATGTAGTTTTGTCATAGCATTCCAGGAGATTATGAGTCTTTAGAAAAAAAATAAATCTTTGCAGAGTGAATATTCATCGCAAGAACAGCTTTGTGATTTTGTTGCCGATTTGCGACTTAGTAGTGCTGAGGGTTCAAATGAAGATTTTGCGAGACAAAATCGTCCTCGTTCTCGCAGCTTGACGTAAGTTTACGCTTGATGTTTTTTTTAGCTTGAAGGTTCCGACACCTTCGTTGTTTAATTCTATACTGTTTCGAATTAGGAAAACTGGATTTGTTTCTATGCATAATTGAGGGATGGTCAATGCTTCCTAGACATTTCGTTAGTATTTGTTTTCCCTACTGAGTACAAAATCAAAAATCACGTCATTTTTTGCGTTGTACACATATGAAAAGCATTATGGTGAGAATCTGTAAAGTTTTTTTATCGGAAGGTGGAATAAATGGAATAGTTTAAATGCCGATATTATGCCGATATTATGAACTACTTAAAGAAAACTTATGTAGTATGCTTGTTGTATTATCACTGATCACTTCTGATACCCTGTGGAATGATAAGCTCTACGAAATTTTTGTAGTTATCTTAAATCTATTTGAAGTTATAACCGTTTCCATATGTTATAGAAATTCTATAAATTTCGGTTTTGACTCGATATATAGTGTTGTTGATCACAAAACAATTTACAAGGAACGTTTTCCAAAGGTATGAAGAAATTTTACTGATATTTCGACCAACCATAAGTTTTAGTGATTAATATAATTGTTTGGCCAGTCTGTAAGCAGTACTAGATTTTTTATGCTTTCTACATTCTCACCGTAGTCAAGCTAAGCAATATGACCAGTTAAAAAGAGAGCTAATGTTTTGAAAACTTCATCATGTTACATAGTTGCTTTAGGCAAAGAAGCAAATGGAAGAGCAACTCAGTCAGTTAGTCGATGAAAATGCCCCATTATCTGGTGTTACATCTTTGGATACAACATTACGGCCAGAAAGTATATACGTAGAGGATGCCTGGGGTGGCTCACCGAACACTTCGCTTAACTCACTGATTAGTCGTCGGTCTATGATGGCTGAAAACATGGAGGGTGATCCCAGAATGCGACTAATCTCGGATGGTGCTACGCGATTTCTTCATCATCAGATTGTCGAAGTCGCTAATGGTATTTCATATGCCGTTTCTAGATCTTCAGTGGTAGATTACTTGGAATTGTTGGGAAAGAATTCACTTGAAAATCGTATAGGTTATGATTGCAGTAAATCAGCTTAACATTGCTTTGGTTTTATCAGAATATGGAAAGGTACTGTATATGTCTCATGGAAATTTTCATTTTGGAGAGCTGGGATATAAAAATTTTAGATAACGAGAATAACACGCTCATACTTACCAGAGAAACCATCTATAATTTTGTAACTCAGGTTGAAACACTTTATATCATTAGAAAAACTAGGATTTTTAAGCCTTTCTGGGCATACTTAGGGATGCAGATTATGAGTATAAAGAAAATTTCAGATTGTCTGTCAAAGTCGAGAGATGACCTCACCAATGCCTCTTACTTCTCAGAAATATCGCAAAGACTCGAATCTGTTATTGCCGAAGCACACGAAAAAACTCCACCTGAAAGCTTTGCTTTTTTATCTAAAATGGCGAAGCATGTACTTATGATAATTTCTCGACCGGCTCGTATTTTAGAATGCTTGGTAATTAATTTCTATTAGTTGAAGTCTGATTTGTTATTGAAAAATAGCGGAGATTTGAAGGATGTTCCGGAATTTTTAAGCAGTCAGAAAAGCAAACTTATTGCTTTCTTCCTTTCCCCTCCGTTTTCTCGATATCTGAGTGTAGGAAATTTTCGATGTGATTAAAGGAGTTCGATCCAGATCAGTTCTATCACTTGTTACAAGAAACGGAGGGAGCGGTTCGCGAACAGCTCGGCGCAGGTAATGCTAGAGTTCCAGATTTACCTCAGTACATCATAAGCAAACTTGGTCTGAATAAGAATTTGATGTCCGAATCTGCAGTTGATATTTCCAAGGTATGTTATATCTGGAGTCTTGTGTATGCCTTACTTCTGCAAGTGAATGTGACCTTTAAAATAAGAAAAACGGACTTTTAGGCGCAAGAAGTACGCTAATATTAACTTGGCTTTTGTGCTTATTTCTATGTAACTAGTTCCTAATTTGTTTCAAAAACATAAGATTCTTCATGAGCATGATCAGTTAGCTGATTGAATTTCGCATGCATGACATGTATTTCTTCTATTTTGGAAAAAGAAATCTTACAGGGAGCGCAAGGTTCACTATTCGATGATGAAACTCGCTTAGCTATGGAGTGTGACCATGAATTGTGTAAAAGACGTCCACCATCTGAAGATGACTATGAAACAGTTCGGGTGAGTGAAAATGATGTCCTTGAATTTCAGTGCATGATATAAATAGATTAGAAGTGATATTATTATTGACTAACATAGTCTTTGATGAAAAATGATAATCTGAGGTCATATTAATCCTGCATTTCTGGAAGATTTCATGTCTGTGAAAGACTTCGTTCTAGAATTGAAGCAGTCGGTATATTGTAGATGGCTAGTAGGATATTGAATATCGTAAATCAAGCTTTCCATTTATAAAGTAAACATTATATAATGAAACATTTTACTGGAAGATTTTTCGTATTTCTCAGTGACCAAAGCGCAATCATATTTAATTTCAATGGTTATTATTTTTTGGGGGCAAAGGTTTAAATTATTAAGTTAATAAGTAATGGAGCATATGGCGCCGTTTATTTGGTGCGGCATAAAGAAACACGACAACGATTTGCACTGAAGCGCATGAAGAAACAAACTTTATTGATGCGTAATCAAATAAATCAGGTAGTTTGCTTGTAACATTCACTTATTTCGTTTGTCTGCTAATTTGGCAGGAAGATTTATTGGACTGGAAAATGCAAAATGTTTAATAATGTCAAGTCCAAATTTATTACTTTCTTTAGATATATGCTGAGAGGGATATACTGACATTTACGGATAATCCATTTGTCGTATCATTTTATGGTTCATTCGAGACGCGTCATCATTTGTGCATGTTGATGGAGTACGTCGAAGGTGGGGACTGTGCAACTCTACTAAAAAAAGCTGGAACATTACCACTTGATGCAGCACGGCTATATATTGCAGAAACTGTTCTTGCTATTGATTATCTTCATTCTTATGGTATTGTACACCGTGATTTAAAGCCCGACAAGTAAATCTCTTATATTTTTCTAATTCCTTCCTCGCTTTTAATAAATTATTATGAAATGAAATATAAATTTTTCAAATAGAATCTGAGTCCCAAAAATCGGTGGTAAATTTGATGAAAATAGTCGAGGATATTGTTTAGGTGGGAAATAAATTTTGTTTCATACAAGGTTCAAAATTTGATCGTTTGTTAAATTTCGTTGGTAGAGCATGCATGGTTTCTTTTAAACCAGGGTGACTTCTAGAGCATTACGAATCTGTTTCTAAAATTCACTTGTGATTTCATATCAGGTAGTAATATAAAAGAAAACGGGAAACGTTTTCAAATTTTTAATCGAAGTTTTAGTACCTTTTAATATTGTGGTTTTTTTTGCATCCAACTTCATAATTCTCTCATCTATTTTTAGCCTATTGATAACGGCAATAGGCCATATAAAATTAACCGACTTTGGACTTTCAAAGATTGGTCTGATGAATCGTGCAACACTTCTTTGCGAAAATTACTTGGATATTTCGGATACACAACAATTTACTGATAAACAGCTCTGTGGTACTCCTGAATATATCGCGCCAGAAGTAATTTTAAGGCAAGGATATGGTAAGCTCACTGATTTCTCCTACCTTTTTTTCATGTGAAATATTTATTACTTCAGTATGAAAAAAGTTTTTGCGATTGCGAAGATTCATTATTTTTTTCTTGAAATTTTCCACTTATTTCGTCATTTTTCTTTATTTTTTTTTGGAATTCCCCACTTATTTCGTCATTTTTTAAACAATGAACATTTAGCATTTTGTATAATTTTAAGGTAAACCAGTGGATTGGTGGGCACTTGGTATTATTTTGTATGAATTCCTAATTGGAATTGTTCCGTTTATGGCTGACACTCCAGAACATTTGTTTGCAAAAATTGTTAATGGTTAGTTTATTGTCGGATGTTACTGTTCCAAAAGATCTCTTAACATAAAATTTTTATGAACTAAAAAATGTATTTCTCCGTTTCATTCTGAGAAATTTGAAGAGGAGGCGGAGTTTCCTGAAGGGGAAGAAGCATTGCCCATGGAAGCTGAATCTTTGATTAAACGTTTGTTGGAGAAGGATCCAATAGAACGGCTTGGATCAGCTGGTGGTGCTCAGCAAGTTTGTTTCGTCCAAATACATTGTGTTTTAGTCGATAGCTGCTATGGTTGTCATTTAGACACTGTGATATTTGCCTTTTGAATCACTGGAAACTTTTTTTTTAAATCGTTTTACTTATTGTTTTTTTCTTTCAAATTACAGCTGATGAATGATCCTTTTTTTGCTGGTTTAAATTTCAAAACTTTGTTGCGTCAAAAAGCAGAATTTGTGCCCCAACTGGAGGGGGATGAAGATACATCTTATTTTGATACTAGAACAGATCGGTTTGTGATTTTTATATTTGATTTCTTCTTTTCTTAAGGGAGTTTTTGAGAAAATTTCGTAAACGAAATACTTTGAACGCTTCCTTGCCTGAGAAATGTAGTTTGCTTCTGTAGGTTATTTTCCATTATGTACTGAAGAAATCGAATTTCTGCGTTAAATTTCATCCCTTCATGACCGCTGGGACTCTCCGATTTATTAGATGTTTATTAGATGCTGTATATTGGAATTATGGACATGTCTGCATCATATATCCTCTAGAAAAGCTAAACAGCGGATGTTCTTCTGTATGATCTATGCATCAAAGTACTAGGTCCGAACCTTTGTTTGAGAGTGATATAAGGCATTTTTCCAGAAATTTCTGGCACGTCCTGTATGAGGTTCACTCATGAGTTACATGCGCTGATTCTTAAATCTTATTGTTGGTAACTCTAATATTTTACTTTTTTTTCCAGCTACAATCATGATGTTGACAGTGGTGACGAAGATAATGCTCCAATGTTTGGTTCTTTTGATACTGCATCACCTCGCCATTCAGTAATCAGTGCTGAGTCATTTAATGTAGCCCAGGTATTTTTCCCTTTCATCGAATTTCCTAATAGTTTGTAAAAATCTTTATTTTATTCAGGCTACAAGTTTTGATAGTGTCAAGAACACTCGGTCAGATTCGAGTTCAGTTTCTCTTCAGTTAAGCGGAGATTTTAATGAAAACAAGATGGATACTAAATATGATTTATTACCAACGGTCAGTTCACTTTCTTTTTTTGTTACTATTTTTTAGAATAAAATTTTATTAATTCGTGTCAAACATCGTCAAAATCGCAGCAGTGCATGATACTTTTATCTATGAAAATTTCATCTTATTCCAAATATTTTATTAAAATCATTGAAAACAAATTACAGTACGCCGTAATTTACCTTTGTATGGATTTTTGTTTTGTTGCAACTGATCTTTTTACTTCCAACTGAACTTTTTCGAAACTGAACTGAACTGAACTTTTTCTAGACAGTGCTACTTAGGCGGTGTTTTTCATCTCAGCTTCAAAATAATTTGTCTACATCAAACAATGGAACAAATGAAACGGGTTGTCTGAATACAGTTGGGTTATCTACATGTGCTTCATCTGATGCACTCAGTTTTTCCGAATATTCGCAGTCGGTACCAGTTATAGAAGGTTATCATAATCAGAAAAGTAACGCAACAACGTCATTGCCACGGTAAGCGCGCTAATGGTTTTTCGAAGTTATAAAATGATGAAAATTTTCTTCTGAGATCTTAATCGATTATTGGAAAATCTTACATTGTGGGATTAGGACAAACATGTTTTCTAATTTGATTTCAGTTTTCGAAGTTTTCCAATTTTTCTTTTCCTTTTTTGTTTTCTATAGGTGTGGGAATTAAAGCTGCATAGCTTTTTTGATTTAGCTTGCTAAAGTGACAGTTTTCATTTCAGTTTCTCGGTAACCTGTGAACCCGACGCAACTACTGTTAGCTCTTGTGATAAGAAAGAACTATCGCCTGTAACTGAATCACGAACAGCTTCTAATCTAATTATTTTCGATTCTGTGTGTTTTTGATCAAACCTGAATTATTTTATCACTTCGTTAAGGAAATTTTTCATACATTTTCACACTGACTGTACACATATTTACTCTATAGGTAGATCTTGCTCAAATTACTAAAGGAAAAAATTTAGAGAATGACTTGTGTTAATTCTGAGCATTATTTTAGAAATATATTTCCTTCTGCATCCTGCACTTTTCAGAGTCGAAGCGATGAAGCCGTTAGTGAACACGACCGTACTTTGCAACTCGAAATCCCAAAACAGTCTTCGCCCTTACTCACTCATCATTCGCCCGCTGGTTCAGCTTCCAGCGCGTCATCAGTTGATGGTATTTCCACCAATCCATTAGGTAACGCAACTCCTACAACGGGACACAATTTTCCATTGAGAGCGCCAATAATCATCAAGTAAGAACGTTGAAATTTTTATTCCATAATAGAGATCTACCTTTTTTCGAAAAAATCCTTTGATGCTTCTAGTCTTTTATGCGAACATGGGAGAAACTTTATTGCGAAACAAAAAATATATATAAAGTACATTATTCCAAAAAAAAGAGATATATTTGTATATGTTATCTTTATGAATCATTTAATTGAAAATACAGGATCATAAAAACGTATTCTATTTTGCGCTCTTTTAGGAAAGGACCAAAAGGTTTCGGATTCACGATTCGTTCAGTACGTGTTTATTTGGGTGAACAGTCGGATTATTATACTATTGAACATTTAGTGACGAAAGTGGAAGAAGGTTCTCCAGCTTACCAATCTGGTATACGGCCAAATGATCTTATTACTCATGTTCATTCTCAACCTGTTTCTAATCTCACACATCCGCAGTTGTTGCATCACCTTCTCGCATATGGAAATGAGCTTTCCCTGAAGGTTAGCCATTTATTTATTCAATAAGGAGTCAGCTTGTGGAGAGATTTAATTAATTTTTGACCTGGTACTGCATAAGAGAGTAAGAGCCATGAGAGTTATGTATTTCTGAAAGTGTTAGAACAGAGATGGGACATGTATTCATCATACTTTTGTATAATGTCGCAGTATATTTTCTGGTATGGGAGTATATATTTTTTTTAAATTTACCATTTGATCCTTTTCTATATCTCTTCCATTTCTTTGCTTCATGTGTTCCATATAAACTATCTTGGTGGTGGGTGATTTCAGTTCACTTTCCTGAGTAATTTTTGTTTGAAGATTTGAGATCAATGAAATTCCCTAATTTTTGAATATCAACAATTTTTAAAAACTGAACGTTTATAGACTATACCACTCTCATCAACCTCAATTCGTGAAGGTGCACCACGTCGTACAGTTGGCAAGCTGGCCAAGAAGAAACTGAGAAAACCACAACATCGCGTTCAACTGGAGAAGAAGGCTAGGAAATCGTCACTTCTCCGTCGGTTAAGCGGCAAAAGAGCTAGCAATGACATTATTCCTGGAAGTTCATCCCAGAAACAGACGTTCATGCCTCGGTCAGCTTCTAGTCAAGATGGAATACAGCTAAGGTGATTATTGATTTGTCTGGAAGAATCGGGAACTTTCTGGACGAGATTCAATACCTAAGTCGTGATAGCTTTGTTTTAGTCTTATGAACATAGTATTTGCCTTTTTTTTATACATATTTATTAAGTTATAACTTGACAATTTTACTATTGCAGCAGCGTAATTGCTTCGTCTTCCACATTGGCGGTTGTACCAACGGTGGGTTCAAATGGTTGTGTGTTCCAGCGACTTTCAGATGCTAGCTCACCCATTAAAAAGGAAGAGAAATTGATTTCTGCATCACCACTAGCACTAGCATGCGCAAATCGACCATCTACATTACAGGTACCGTTAATGATAGAAGAATTCAACATGTTCCTTGTAAAAAATAAATGTATGATATTGCGAATTCGAAAACGTTCGAAAATCGAGTAACTGATTGTTGCGAAATCCTCCCATTTTACTTGTTTATATATGATGTAAAGGACAGGAATTTTTGATATGTATGTGTTGTAATCTACAGGAATTTGTTTGTCAGTTCAGATTAATCATATTTGGTTAAGTTGATCGATAAAATTGCCGTATCAGTTCTTTTATTCAGTTCTTTAATTAAACATTAAATTAATTTTTTTAAGGGGCTAAAACATAAAATGACTGGAATGGCGCACCATTTAACGACGCGTAAACAGTTATCTACACCAGTTGCAGTCAGTCCACTGGCAAGAGATAAAGTTGCTTTTATTTCAAGGTTATTGCTTCAATTTCAAAGTCCAGGTTGTTCCGATTTTAAGGTTTTTTGAATATAAAAGTTGGCGGAAAGAATATGTTTTTTGTTGGTTCCGAATGAATTCGGAAAAAGTTTGGTGCATTTCGTCCAACTTTCGTCTTAATAAGTTATGTAGAAATCTTCAGAGTTTTTGACTGACGTTGTTTTGCTAATTGTTTTATAGTGATTTCTATATTCAAGGTACGTTGTTATCGGTTCTGAAATTTTAAGTCATGCTGTCAGTTAGGCTGCTTCGGAGATAAAAAGTGAGAAATTTTCAAATAGTAGCTATTGGAGTGTCGCATAGTTAGAATTGTTATAGTTCAGGTCATGTATTCAGCAATTTATCTTTTTCATTTTACTGGAAATGTTTGTTGCTGTAGTTATATTTATAAGCGGGTTTCGAAGTAAAGGTGTTGTTTGACACTGTTCTTTCAGATCGCCTAGTCCATCTCAGTTGTCAAGAAATGCATCCTATACAAAGCTTCAAAATATACAACCTGAAGCAAAGTAGTAAGACAAAATGCAAGAAATTTTGTATACCTTTCCGCACCGTCGAATAATATTGCTTGGTTTTTCAAAGTTTTACTTATATTTTCAAATCCATTCTTTCTCTCTACGATTCGTTACTTTATTGTATTTTTCTTTTACTTATTTTTAAGCTTCAGTTACTTGTCTTTCAAAAGGAATGTGTATACATGTTTTGTATATTTCACTCTTTTCATTGAATAATGCATGGTCGATTCACGAATTACTAACTGCTACAGATGGCGGATTCCTTTCTGATTAACTAATGGTTCTCATATAGGTTCTCACGTTAGGTTCTCCTAACGGTGTTTTCCTGTAGTAAACTGCTAATAAACTTTTGTTT